AGAGGAAGCGGAAGAAGAAGAAGAAGGAGGAGGAGAAGAAGAAGAAGAAGAAGAAGAAAGAAGAAGAAGAAGAAGAAGAAGAAGAAGAAGAAGAAGAAGAAGAAGAAGAAGGGGGAGAGGAGGAGGAGGAGGAGGAGGAGACGAGGAAAAGAGATGGCATCCGGATTGAAGCAGAGCCTCATCTGTACCTCGAAGTAGCACAGTCGTTCATCTGAAAAGCTAAGTATCTTGTGTTGAGTCTGCTGACGTGAAGCATGCTTTTGCTCCTGATAAGTTGCTTCGCCGATGCTGACCAAACCCCCGACATCCCCCCCCACCTCCTGGTGTGCTTCTCGCATGACCTCCACACCACATTCCTTTGGCTTTGGATTCTCGCCTAAATGACCTTCCAGTTCCAAATTACCATTGCAGCACTCTAATGTTATCAATGGACTACTACCCACGCCTGCTCCTTTTCCGTTCTCGGGCTTGACAGGCCAAGCAATCTGCTGCCGCCTCAGGTCTTCTCCACCATCGTAAGAGGTGTTTCCTGCATGCGCAGGCTTGCCTTGGGCATTTGCCGAGCCCCTCCCCTCTGCCTGTAGGTCAACACACATCTTGGCTCGCTCTGTACCCATCTTTGTCCGAAGTCCTGCTTCATCGCGTCTTCTGAAACCCGCACCTTCTATCCCAGAAGCCAGTCTTGACCTCTTTGCCTTAGCCACTGGTTTGCGTCTAGCAGCAACTTCATCTGCAAATGTGCAATTCAACTCTTGGGAAACGCTGTCTTCCTCCTGCTCACACCTTTCCTCAAACCCGCCTCCTTGGCTGCTCCTCGAATATGAGCTCCTGCACTTTCCCACCAACTTCGCTCCAAGACTTTCCTCTGCCCAAGTATCCTTTTCCCCTGCCGCTTGACCAATTGAAATCAACTTTCTTACCTTCAGCCCTAAACCAATATTCTTTCCCTTCTTTCCATCCGAATGCTCCTGGGCATCAAGTGTCTTCCCAAAAGATCTACACGTCGAGACACCCGCGTCCCCACCCACTACTACCGTGCTGTCAAGAGGAAAGGGTCGAGATTCCAGCGCCAGGACAAACTCCCGTGGACGCGCCCCCTTCTCTGGAAGAGCTGTCCTCCAATCCTTCCTCTTGCTTTGTTCATCATCGCAACTCACACGTTTGGTCACTGCAAGGCCATCCACAGCATTACCTGCATCCAAGTTTTTGCCGTTCTCTATGGCTGCAGATGGCTCCTTCAGGTCTGGGACCCCCAACGGGCCAGTCACAGGGGCCTCTTCTCCCGGTTGTGGAGGCATCCGCTCTGGATTTACTTCAGCGGCAGCACAATAATCAATGCCCTTGACAATGCATGGGCCTTGAAGATGAGACACAGAAATTTTCCGACGCTTGTAGCCCCCAGCAGCACGGGTTCTTGGGCGGCAGGTCTGACAACTGTAACACTGCATAGACAGAGATAATGTTCTGTTAGCCAAATAGTACACACACGTATAAT